AGTTAATTTGTCAGAAATGTACAAGAAAATATAAACGTGATAGCTTATAACATATTACCTAGGAAAAGGAAATGTGTGCAGCTCACAGCTGAGTTACTGGGATATAACATAGAGAACTTTATCAGATAGCTCTTCAGTTAATTCAGTTTACAAAGTGCTAACTTTATATAATATTAAGAATATAATGCCCTCACTATATATTTTGTGGAATTAGCTGCTTTAAATGCCGACTCACTTGTTGCATGCAATAAATTCAATCTATTAAACCTCAGTAGTGACAACTTTTGATGGAAGATATTAAAATTTGATACTATTTTCCGTCATGTTTGAAGTAAATTTTCATTGCCTATCCAACCACAAATGATAGAAAAATCCGTTTTTTGTCGCAATTGACATCCTCTTATGGCGATAATATGAATTTTTTGTCGCCATATCTCAATCTAAGGTGACAAAAATGTATTTCATCGCCTTTGGTATCCCTAAGGCGAAAATGTTCTTTCTCGCAAAATGTATTTGTTGCCTTGGGCTGTTCTTCTTGTAGTGAATGGAGCGAGGAATGGAATAAGGGAATGAATGGAATGGAATAGGCATACGCCCATCAAATGGGTGGATCGGGTCACAAATGGTCCAACTCAAATTGACACATTTAACTCATTGATCCATTTTTAAGTAACACATGCTTTTTTTATTGGACATATATGTAACACAAGTTTAACGACCCACCGGACCCAACCCATATTACTAAAATACATCCATATTTGACTCAATTTATGAAAACTCATACTCACCCATATAACTCACTTTAATCTATTCATGTGAATATGTTAATTGGATAAAATTTTACATCAAATTTAAAATGTAAATTTACAAAATAAAAAGTTTATCACTTGTTGTCCCTTGCCGTGCCCAACTCAACCGACATAGTCTCGCTTTCGTTTGAACCCAACGATGTTGCTGTTAGCCCCCAAACCTAGTATCGTTGTGCGCCTGCTCTCTCTCTCTCTCTCTTGTTTTTTGAGGTCGCAAGCTTAAATCTAACCTCGCCAGTTGATGTGATTGCGGCATCAAGTGACAACTTGATGTAATTGATTCACAGTGACTGTACCAAACTCAGGACCAGCTCTTTTGGCAGTATCACCACTCTTCGTTCTTGTAATTGGAATGACATGAAGAAAAGCCAAGCCAACTTCTGAATTTTTCTGTTGCTTCTTACTTGCACCCGCTCGACAACTTTTCCGTTTCACTCATGGATGCACACTAGACCTGCTTTGTGGCAATTAAGTTTTAGTGTTTGGACCCTCCTGGAAGCTTCCAAACCTGGTTTAATGGGTTGCTCAGATTCGCTCGCGGCTTAAAATATATCTTTAAATGCTCGGTTCAAACCAGTGGTCAGGCTTAACATATTGCCCGAACTCGTGCAAAGCCTAAAAGGATACATCATAATGTGCAGATTGAGCTCAGCCTGGGCCAAAGTTGAGAGTAGGTCGGGTAAAGCGAAGATGTTATCCAAACCCGCCCATTTGCCCATCGAGCCTGTTAAGCCTAGGCGGGCGGGCTACCCATTTGCTGATTAGGTCTGTCCATTACCTTTAGTCTTATATTTGTAGTTCATCACAATAAAAAATGTTTATCAGCTTTAATTTGAATTTCTTGAGTCTCTCTACATCAATCATAGCCTTGTGTGGCTTTCCTGTGAGAGGTGTGCAGAGAAAACTTGTCAACAATCGCATTCCCTCCAAATCCATAAAGCAAACTCCAATAAGATAGAATAAAGAAAGCCAAACTGGCTTTTCAGGGACGACTCTAGTTTGGTGAACGAATTTACATCTCCCCAACAACTTCACCTTCTTCACAGCTTCAGACAGACCCCATCAGGAGCGCTCTCTCTATCAAACATCAAAACAAACACTCGGTGCGCAAGCTTAGAGACCCAATGTATGCTCATTAATAACAAAATGAATGTGCATTCGGATTTTTTGTAGGAGTCAATAATAAATAACAAATAGAATGAGGCCAATTCGCGTTTTTAGCAAAAGCCCATTAATCGCCCATTTCAAAATGAGTCCATGAATCACACGCAGACCCATCAATTTAGCTCTTTTCGCGTGGCTCAGGCAAGAAGCCCACATCTCATTGGTCTAATTAGCTCATTCGAAGGGAAAAGAAGTTGGCTCTCTCGGAAAAAAAATTGGGATAACGATTTTTATCTTCGTTCTCTCTAAACGTCACTATTTTCTTACCATTGAAGCTGCGATTCATCCACCATCTTCACCATTACGGAATCCCCAACACTTAGACGGAGGTTAACAGTGAGTGAAAAAAAAAAAGACGAGAGAAAAGAAAAATCACAGAGAGAAGGGAAAATTGGTGAGAGAAGTGTCGTAACCTTCCTTCAGGTGAACTACCGAGAGGAATGGCTAATGGATTACTAAGCTTGCACTTAACTCGGGCTCTCCCATGCCCATACCAATTCGTAACTTTCGGATTAATTAACATGAAAAATCAATTTATTTAGGGGTCACCACTAATCAATTTTTACTGGGAGAAAACTTTACTTTTATGAACTAGAGATTATGAAACGGGGACTAGATTACCCTAGATTACTCTATTTTGCGGGTAACTTGGATTAATTTTAAACCTAGACACTAATATGCAGGGAGTGATCATGCAGATGTCCAATCAATAAGATAACACTCAATAATCAAAACATTAATAAAGTAAATTGCTAGAAAACAAGAAATCATACACCAAGAATTAATTAAAAGCACTAAGTATACTAAACCAAACCTAGCCATGATTTTACTAACTAATTAACGATTCTTATCAATTCTCATTTTTGTGGTTTTTTTTTATAATAAAAACTAACTATATGAAATTATAATCTAGGTTAAACATGCATGATTTACTATTCTAATGACATGAGACATGCAATTTAAATGACCTAATTCTAATGATGAGCAAAAAATTAACACGAAATTATTCTAATATGACATGCATTCTAAATTAATGACCCTAACATGCAATTAATGATATGGCATATATGACATGGAACTAATGACATGACATGAATGGTGACATGGCAATGACGTGACAAACATGATGACATGTCATAGATTACGTGGCCTATAACAATGACGTGGCAACATAACATGGCATAATATGATAACGTGGCAAGCATGACACGACATGACAAAAAGAGATGACATGGCAAACAAGACATGGCAAGATGATAATGTAACATATTCTATATGATATGCACATACTATTTTTTTTAATTAAAATTCGAAATTAATAATTAATGAAAATAAATTAGCTAAAGTGAAAGATGATCCAACTTAAATTAGGAAATTATCGTAGTTAGATCCTATTCTAACTTGGAATCTTATCCTAACTAGCTAGATATTCTCTAACATGCAATCATATCTAAGAATCTAAACTAATCTCTTTTTTTTTGGTCAGTCAACCTAATCTATTATGAAATGCAATATTTTTGTATTTTTTTGAATAAAGAAATCAATCAAACAAGATAAACTCAAAAATCATAAAAGATAAGCTCAAAATAGCAAAAGATAAACCCCATTCAACTCAAATTGGAAACAAATAAAACCAACATCCGATCTTAATGCCTAAAGATCAAGTTACCGGTTTTCCGTGCAATTCATAACCTTATGTCAATGCCCAGAGATCGAATAACCGATTATGCGCACGTTATGGGTTAGGAAATATTCCTAATTTGGATATGCTTATTATCTCAAATAACACGAGTTAGATTGCAATATCATCAAAATAGGCAATAAAATGTTCAAATCAATTTCGGACTGAATTTTTACCTAGTTTAAGGATTTGTTTCCAAAACGGGACCGGCGGCAAAGGCTTTTGGCGGCCGGCGACGTTGAGGATCCACGATGAGGACCAGCGGTAGAGTAGCCACGTTGATTGATCCTCCCTTCCCTTCCCCCTCTCACGCAGGAAAAATAAAATGTGGGACTGCTAAAAATGTTGTCAAGAGATGGAGTGGGTATTTGAATAGAAGAAAGATGAACTTTAATTTTTGACTAGACAATCAATTTGTAAATGGGTTTTGATCTGCAGGGTTCATTCGTAATTCAGCTATTAAACTAGCACATTCAAAACCTCTATTTTCAATCTATCCTTTCATCTGTACAGTAGCTGTTATTGGAAGATAGAGAGCTTCTTATTTTGAATTGTGACCTGAACATGTTAAAAGGATATTATCTAACCAATTGACATGCAGAATTTTATTATAGTATTTTTTTTGGCTAGGCATGGCCGACAATATAGTTACTAAAGGCAATTATGTACTTAGAGTTGAAAGTACAATTTTTTTTGCTGATCATAAAAATATTATCATAATTAATTCACCTAAACAGTGCCAAACACCGAAAATGGGAAAATATCTTCGTACAACTAATTTCTCGTAAACTAGATCCTTCATACACGAATGATAACCATTCTATTCCTAGAAAAGATTTATGGCCATAAATAGATTTTTCCATTTCTATTCTCTGGATGAGTTTCTGAACAAAGATATGCGATTAATAACGACACAAAATTTCTCTTCCCGGAATAAAAAAATTAATTAAATAGGCATTCTTAAACGCTCCTTTCCATTCATCAACTGGTGGCGGCAGGCGAACAACAAGCGGTGGGGGTGGTGGCGGCCGATGGGCGGCGAGAGGCGAGGGCAAGTGATGAAAAGAGTTTTTATTTCTCTTTTTATTCCATTAAAAGAAATATACAAAATTTTTACTTTCGTTCCAAACCTATTTCTGGACTAAAAATTTGTTCCGGAAATAGAAAATGAAATTGCGTTGCTAAATAGATTGCTATTCCAAATCTGTTTTCAGTAATAGAAAAATAGATATGATTAGAAATAAAATAGTTATCATGCACGCCCTTAGTTGCCTCTGAAGCTAATCACCGAGCCAATATGAAATATAGAATCTCTTTTCTATATGGAACATAGAAGCATTTAGACATTCGCATAAAATTTTTTGTATAAGTTGTGCTCACTGTCTTACAAAATAATGTACTGTGCAAAAAGGGTTCTTTCGCAAATAATTAAATCATTTTACTGTGTACAGGAAAGCTGACTTCAAGGTGATGGACTATGAAACTTCCAGGGGCTCAAAAAACGAACCTATTGCTAGGATAAAATGGGTAAAGGGTCATAAATTATACCAGGACTGCAATCCCGACTCAGTTTTTAATTGTCGAACCACTCTTGGCTGATGGCAAGAACTAAACTCGCCTGATTCAACGAGAACTGAAGTATCTTCTTATGATCCTGGAAATTCCCATGGAAAGGCGTCTCCTTGCCTTGAGAAACCACCCAGAGCTCGTCCACTCTTCCAGATATTAGATGCTTATCGAGACTAAACTGCAAATCAAAGTGAAAAGAGGGCTATTAGCTGTGAAGACGATCCACCATTGGTCAAATTGAAGTATTTTGGCAAGAAAATCAATCTCACCATCAAATTTCCTCCTTGGAACAAGACCAGACCTTGAATGAGCGCCTCAACCGCATCCTAGTCCTACAGTTGGGGACAGTTAAAAACGCAGAATCATACTGATCTATCCTCAGACAAGAAACTAACAATTTACAAAGATAGCACTTTAGTAGTCACTGGTCATTAAAGCAGAACTTAAAGTCCACATTTGTAGACAAAGAAATTTCCACATTAATTATGTGCAAAGCCCATTACTGCCTATAGGCACGGATCTCGGAACTACTTGGTACTATAAATTTCTGTAATACAAAAACACTGATCAGGCTAGCATAACTATCCTATTTTCAATATTTTGCAAGTTGGAACAATTACATTGGTTTCTATTCCATTATAAGTTAGATGTATGATGACAGAGGCTCCCTGTAACTGTGATAACTGATTGCTTCTACTGTATTTTCAATGTAAAGACCAGATTCCGATGAGTGCAATTAGTGCAAGACAACAACAAGCTAACTGAAAAAGTAATTTAAGTCATAAGGTGGAGAAAAATGAGTAAACTTACAAGATGATTGGATGGCTCGTCAAGCAAATCTATGTGAGGTTTCTTGAAAGTTATCTCGGCAAATGCAACTCTGCTTTTCTGACCACCTATTTATATGGTCAAAGCACCATGTTATATGTGCAATATCATCCAAAAAGCCTCAGAGAAAGTACACAATGAACCGCAATTCAGATTACAAATTAACTGACCTCTAATAGAGCTTCACGATGTCATACGCAAAGAGGAAGGAGATGTATCAGACAAGATACACATTGGTTGAAGTGAAAAATTGCCTGTTACACCAAAGGAACGGAAGTGGGCTCAAAGCTTTTGTTCCGAAACTCCCTGCAGGAAGAATGCGACATAAGAAGGTATTTTTAGATAAACTGACATCATGTATGACGAAATAATATTCCACGGTAGAGTAAACATACTGATACTTTAAAGAATTGAATAGATTGGCCCCAGAGGTCACTGCTGACAATGCAAACACAGAGGCAGGTAGCATATTAACGCAATCTCAACCAAACAAGCATAAGTATATTGGCTAAAAATTTCTAGCAAGCCATTAGTAATAGTTCCTAACCCACCAGAGATCAAGACCCAAACGGAAGGTGATTTATGGAATATCAATGTTGTCATGAATTGGAGTTGTATTGAAAGGTTGGAGCCATGAGCTGCCCTAGAATTTTATCCCAGATCGACTGGTTAATACCATGAAGGATCATCATCAACAAATGAAGGTCTCGATGATAAAGAAAACCATTTTGAAAAAAAACTAACACCTCCTTTCTTCACAATCATATTACAGCATCCACATAACTAATCATGTTTTTAGATTTTAGGAAAGATTATTCTGATTTAGATCATATTCACCAGAAGAAAAATTAGGACATATCAGTGCCACCAAATAAAATTAAACTCTTCTTTTCTATTTTGTTAATTGCAAAAAATGACTCTTAACTTTGACATCATTAGCCCTACCTCAACAGCATTTGCAAGTGATCCTTCCAAGAGATTTTTTCCAATACAAATCACGATGGTATCTGCAAAACAACCACAGTGAATTGCTAGGGCACAAGAGAAAGATGTTGAAAGAAAACATACAACAAATGCTAAAAATGCAGAGGAATGTGATTGTGGAACGCTATGATTCTTTCGTGATTCTCACGCAAAGCATAGTGCATTTTCATTCACAATTTGTTTGGTGGGTCAGTCAAGTGCAAAAATAAGCAAACTTTTTGGGCATCAAGCAAAGTTGAAGGTAGATCATCAATAGAGCAAGAGGCAGCACTGTAAACATTTTGTCCTACAGATGTCAATCGTTCACCTTCAGCAGCTGGTTTTCGGAAATTTATGTGAAAACTCTCCATGAGGAAAGTCAGTTTGTATTAAGCATCGAATTGAGGAAGCAAAATCGAAATAGATGCCTTCAAAAACAAAAACTTACCCAAACCCTAGAAAACTGACTGTACATGGAAAAAGCAAATCATAGGAACCGAAAAAAAATCATTTGCCCAGAAGAAACACTTCCATCAACATCCTGCATCATTTAGACATCAGAAAGGATTAGATAGATTTGGCGAGAGAGATAGAGAGAGATATCCCCATGAAAATTATTATTACTTATGCTGACCAGAAAGCGGTTTTAGAAAAGCCGTTGAATGTCATAAAAGCAAAATTTCCAGCGATATGTCTCACGACTTGATCAGCAGGGTAAGGCCCCCGATCCCTCAGAGTTCTATAAGCTTCTGTGACGATGATGACCTCATTGGCGGTCTTGCTCAATCCATACTGCTGCTTAAGAAGAACAACATTCTCTATATGTCCTTGAAACAAGCAGAAGATGTCATCCACAACAGCAAACAATCTGCCAAAGAGGGTAACACATCAAATATCTACGTGCGATCAGCCATTTGAGGAGCGAAAACAGTGGCGCGATTTCTGTGAATTAACAATTCTGGCTTTCAAAATGAACTGGAGACTTGAGTGCCACTTTCTCCTTTAGGCTGATACTTGGAACCTCTCATGATATCACAATAAAGTCCAACAAAAATCAGTTTGATCTAACCGTTGCCTCTCTAAACAATGATGCCATGAAACTGTTTTTTTTTTAAGCCACCATTGTCATGAGATGGAGTTGGTATTTGAATAGAAGAAAGTTAAACTTTAATCTTTGACCAGGCAATCACTTTTTTTGAATGGGTTTTGAACTGCATGCTTCATTCAAAGTTTAGCTGTTGCATTTCCATATTCAAAACCTCTGCTTTCCATCCATTCTTCCATCTGTACAGTAACTTGGAAGAACGAAAGCTTCTTATTTTGAATATCGACCTGAACATGTTGAAAGAGATTATCCCTATTTAGATCATATCACTGAATTAAATGCTGAACATATTGGTGCACCAAATAGAAGTCAAAAGCTTGTTTTTCGTGTTGTGTTAAATTGGAGAAAATGATACATATAATTGACTACGGTAGTCCTACCTCAACAGCGTTCGCAAGTGATCCTTCCAAGAGATTTTGCCAATGCAGATCACAAAGATATCTGCAAAAACAGCCATGGTGAATGAGCTGAAGGCACAAAAAAAAGGAGAACATAGCAAGAGGCAGAGTTGAAGATATGTAATCAAGATAGCAAGAGGCAGCACAGTTATGTGAAAAATCTCAATGAGGAAAATATCAATTTGTATTACGCATCGAATTGGGGAATCAGAATTGAAATCGATGCCTTCAATACCCAAAAACTTACCCAAATCCTAGAAAACTCACTGTACATGGACGAATCAATTCACTGGATCCGAACGCCCTCAATCTCGATGCTCGGGATGTCTTGGATGAGGGGCCAATAGTGGCCAGTGAGTTTTGAGCATCCATCTTTCAGATTCTCGCATCCACCTATGCGCAATTGCTGGAGGGAGGGAGGGAGGCCATCCTCTGGCAAGTCCCTCAACTTGGGGCAATTGATAATCCCTAACACTTTGAGAGAGGAGAGATGGTTGCGAAGACCGTTTGATAGTCTTTCCGCCTCCCTCAAATTAAATATCCCAAAAATGATTAGAGAGGAAGGAAAGAGAAGACTCCACGCATCCTCGTCGTCCTCATCCTCCTCCGAAGGAAACCGCACCTTCTCTGCCTCCCCTCCCATGCTCAAGTCAATTCCCAGTGTCTCGAGGAATGGGAGGAAGGGTAAGCCCCATTCTCTCACTGGCTGCTTCAGATTCTCGCAATTCCAAATTACAAGGCTCCGCAAATTGGGGGGCAAACCTCCTTTGGGCAAGCATTTGATATTTTGGCATTCCCAAATGTCTAGCTCCTGGAGGGAGGTAAGATGATGCCACTGATTTGGTAGAGACTTTAGCTTCGGACAACCCACAAGTTCGAAAATTGATAGGGTGATGGGAAGGGGAGGGAGTATCTCCAATGCTGGACAGTGCCTTATTTCCAAACAAGTGAGATGGAAGAGCGTGTGAAGGCACTGTGGAAGGCTTATCAAATTCTCACAGTCATTAATAGACATAAGCTTGAGGGATTCTACAGTGATCTCTTCCAGCGACTTCACTCCCTTGCACTTGTAAATAGTTAGTGTCTTCAGAACAGTAAGTTTATCCTTGACAAACGGAAAGGATGTCAGAGAATCACAATTAACTATCCGTAGATATTCAAGCTGAAATATCGAGCTATTACTACTATGGTCATCTAGAGGAATAGTTTGTCCCTTGAGTTTTGGACACTCCCCAATGCTCAAATGTCTGAATGTGTGTACCTTGCTTGGAAAATTTTCTAAACTCATACAGTCTGTCAATTTTATCCTTTCAAGGTTGCACGGCAACTCTATCTCTCCTTCTCCTGCCACAAAAGATGTGAATCGAGGACAGCTTTTGATGGCTAAATCCTCGAGGCAAGTAAGATTTCGCATTTCATTTCCATCTGGCCACAAGTATGTTAACTTGTCACACCTTCCTATATGGAGCTCCTTTAGCTTGATCAGGCAGCTCATAAACCCATTATCAAAGCAAACAAGCTCTGTCAGATTGTCGATTTTGAGAATGATTAAAGAAGTTAGGTTGACCAAGCTCTCTAAGATCTCCTTTTTACAATCCTCAATATATAACTCACGGAGAGATGGAAGAGAAATCACACTGGTCGAGTTATTCAAATGTGGGCATGAATAGATTTCAAGCCTTATGAGATGATCAAGTTGACAAGGCAATGTCCCAACCAATGAAGGACAACTCCGAACCACAAGATACTGAAGACAAGAGAATGGGACTTCTTCTTCTAGGCTTCCAACATACCAATCCTTCCATGCCAACATCTCTTCAAACTTCAAAGTTCTTAAGGATGAAAATGGCCTTTTACTGCCATAAAATTCAGAGCCAATCATGCTTACTATATGTAGACTTTCAACAGATAATTCTCTTAGTGAAGGTAGTTGTCCAAGTGAGGGCAGTGATGTAACATTAGGACAGCCCCGCAAGCACAAAGACACTATATTAGAATAGGATGGATCATCTAACCATGAGGGGAATATTGCACCGCCATAATACGAGATGGTGAGATTTTCAAGATTAGTGTGAGGTCGTAGAGAGCGAAGCACCAGTGCTTCGCACTTTCCATTCCGCAAATTTCCAAAATTTTCACCCCAATGCAAGAATAAGCTGCTAAGGCCTCGCTTTCCAATTAAATTAGCATCAACCGCATCTCTAACTCCTTCCACCTTTTGCAATTCTGATATGAACAATTCTCCTTGAAGATGTGACAAGTTCTTTAGCTCCTTTAACTGTGACCCTTTGCTTGGTCCTACCACAAACTTGGACAAGATTATAAGATTCTTTAAATTACCGATACTCAATGGCATCCCTTTTAGACTCCCTGTATCTCTAATGTCAAGAAACTGTAAGCTGACCAATTTTGTGATTCCTTGAGGCAACATAGAAAGCTTTTGACAACCTCTTAAGATCAAAGCTTGTAATTTGCACAAGCCGTCAATTGACTCAGGTAGCCTTTCGATATCAGTGTACGAGAAATTGAGATATCGAAGATGTTTTAAATCACCAACACAATTCGGTACCTCTATGATGAAACAATGACATAATGAGAAGCTCCTCAAGTACTTCAATTTTGTCAGCAAGTCAAGTAGTACTTTGTTAGAAACGTGAAATTTGTTATCCCAATTAGATCTATCACTCAAGAACATTAAACTTCTTAGTACCTTCATTCGGTGACATGCTCTCATACATTTTGATGGAAGACACCGGAACGAGGTGAATGATGCATAACGAGCTTTCTCAAGAGATGCATCATCTTCATTACCTACCAGCTGAGACTCAAAGTTAAAGCATGTCCCATCTGCAATTGACTTTGCAAGATCATTCAAAAGATCATGCATTGAAAACTTAGATGTGTTGACACTTGATTGCTGAATAAATGATCTAGATACTAACTCATTGAAGTGAGTCCGTCCCCATTTCAAGATATTCTCATTTGCTCTTTGTCCATCTAAAAAGCCCTCTGATATCCATAACAATACTAGCTCATCCCTTTCAATTTCGTAATCCTTTGGAAATATCGCACAATAAACAAAACATCTCTTCAAATAAGAAGGAAGATGGGCATAGCTCAAATTCAAAACTCGAAGAACCTCATCATTTTCTCCCGTTGGAAGATCCCACATTTTGTTATTTAAGATAGCTTCCCATTGATTGGGATTCCCTTTATCACGTAGGAGACCGCCCAATACCTTCACTGCCAAAGGTGAAACTTTACATTTTTCAGCTATTTTCTTGCCTAAGTTTTCAAGATCCGGATGTCTCCCAAAATTTGTTTCTCTAAGAGCATGAAAGGCTAATAAGCTTGTACAATTATCAAGGGACAACTCCTTCAAAGTATACGACGAAGCTCCGGCTATGGAAACAACAGTACGATTGCGAGTCGTGACGATTATCTTGCTTCCCTTGGCCCCCGCTTCAAATGGCTTTAAGAGCGCAGTCCATTCTAAGTAGTTTTCATTCCAAACATCGTCTAAAACCACAAGAAACTTTTTCCCCGGTAGATTGTCCTTCAACTTAACTTGAAGCCTATTAAGATCTTCACTCTCGTTGGACAACTCGATGATCGACCGCAAAATAGTCTTTATTATGTCGAGAACATTAAAAACATCTGAAACACAAACCCATGCTGTCCTCTCGAAACAGCTATTCACTCTGGAATCATTATACAATCGTTGAGCTAAGGCCGTCTTTCCAATGCCACCCATCCCAACTATGGGGACTACGCTCAACGTGGTATTGGCATTTTCGGCTTCACCAGTCAATAGTTCAAGTAATTCTGCTTCTTCCTTCTCCCTGCCGAAAAATCGAGGCTCTGGCAGAGAACTGCTAGGGAGCCTTTTGTCAATAAAGTTAGATTTGTTAACAGCATTCTCTATCAAACCTAGATGAGCCTTCCTAGTGACGATCTCTTCCAACCTATCAGTGATCTTTTGTACCTCAATTTCAGACACGAGCAAGCATGGGTTTGGGTTCGATATGGAGGATTTATTTCGGCTAGTGAAAGGGAACTTCCATTTCACCGGACCTTTACTTGTGTTGGATTCTGCCTCCCACTTGGCTTGGGTGGCTTCAATCGCGAACTCATCAAGCAAGTTTTCCATGTCGTAGGCCAAGTCCCTAACATCGTCCAACCATAGCTTCACTGGACCTTTACCACTCAGTTGCTTGTCATCTGCATCATCCAGCACTGCATTTATTGTAACCAGCTTCTTCTTCCACTTATTGAGCAGGTCGATGCTAATTTCAGAGAAGGGCGGTGCTCCTTCCCTTTGCACATAGTCCAATCCCAGAGAAGCCAACTTCTCGAACAGGACCTGAAGGAAGGCACTCAAAAGGATCTCCCCAATGGCCATGGGTGAATCTGTAAAATGTAGAGAAAAACATGGGTAATGGTGAAGCAAAGTGATAATGAGCTAATGGAGAGAAAAAAAATGGGGAATCAATCACCGTAGAGAACGAGGGGTATGGCGAAGCAAAGTAATAGTGAGCTAATGGAAAGAGAAAATTGAAATCAGGGAAGACTTAAACTTTTAACTACCAAAAACATTAAACAAAGACCCAGACTTTCAAGGATGCACATCATTGATTAGAGAAATCAAAATAATTTACTTTTCAACCGCAAGTGCTTGTCTCGTAATGTTTAAAGATTACCTTTGTCTGTTCAATAAGGAAAACAAAGCACTCGCTTTGGGCTAAACAAGAAAAAAGGGTCAGCACACCAACTAATCCATTATGCAAGTTGCTTTATTTTGCTCTTGAAATAGTGAACCGGTAAAAACTCATCAACTAACAATATATAATCCATTGAAAAATCGTACTTCACGCTAATGAACGGGAAAATCGAGTTCAAAAAGAACACAATTCTACTATCAAGCGATTTCCAATCATTTACTACTATGTCAGCACCCTTTAGCAGATCATTGTTGCCCATCTTGCTGCGAATTTTCAGCGTTGTAACTACCACTTAAAGCCTACATTGATCGAATGCAAAATATGCGATCAATGAGCGAAATCTTTTAGAGAGCATGTGCTCTCCACCCAGAAAGCATGTACTCTCCACCCAGAAAGCATGTACTCTCCATCTAGTCTTTTCTTCTGTTTATCTACACCTATTTGTGCAGCAGGAAGGCATCTTCTTTCATTAAACATCATGGGATTCGTAATCTTTCAGAAAGCACATGCTCTCCGCCCATAACGCATATGGTCTCCATCAAAGATTGGCCTTGACAAGAGGGCACGCATCTAGAGATAAAGATTAGCCATTTTCTTCCTATCCAGCGAACACAACCCAGTGATATTGGCTTGACTTTGAGGGCGAGGTCCATTGGAACAAGAAGAAATGCACTGCACTACTCCAAGTCACAGTAACCGTTAACATTGAATTAATCAATGGACACCCATCTAGGAAGACTTGTTCATTATACATTGTATTCAGGAATCGTTCGGAAACCATGTACTCTCGACTCAGAAAGCATGTTCTCTCCTTCCAACCTTTTCATTTGTTTATCTTATATCTTTTTTGTGCAGTAGATGAACGCATTCATTAAACATTTTGTATTCGGAATCGCTTGAAAATATGTGCACTTCACCCAGAAATCACGTGCTCTCCATCTTAGGCAATGGTAATCTGATGATTCTGATCGGTACGAAGAACAAACAAAGAGGTTGCTTCTGGCAATGTTTTTCCTTTTTACCTTGGGTGAAAGTAAATGTTCCTCTTTTCCTTTTGTCTTTCATTGATCTATGATTAAGAAAAAATTCATAATGAAAAATTCACAAGGAGGTTAAAGTCACATTTATCTGTTTAACAATATGATTTTTTTTATGGGTCTGAGCATTTCACTTCTTTTAGGTGGTGATTTTGTATTTTTTTTTCCCCTCTCCTTTCTCTCTATCATATCTTTTACTTTCTCGTAGTGGGCATGCACGATGACAAACATTTACTCTTCGTTCACCTTTTTTTTTCATGAATTATTTGTAAAACATGTACTAAACCCTTTATTCGACGATGACATGCATTATTGGTCCCTCTCTCTCTCTCTCTCGGGTTCAAAGGAAAGAAAAAGGATAGAGCAGAATTCAATGGAGTGATGTGTTCTTGACTTGACAGCCCCACCAATTCATTCTATATCATAAAATTATTTTTTGCACGCCTGCAAAAACTAAAATTAAAAATGACCGACTAAAGATTATTTAGTATGAATTAGAACTTAGAAGGGGAGTCAACAAATAAAAGAGAGTTACTCACTTTTAGGAGTGTACAATATAAAATGACGACTTGGGCTTTTTAGGGTTGAACAATATGCAAAGTCTGTTTGATACGATATTAATGCGCATTATAAAAGAGGAACAATGTCAAAAAAATTTCTGATGTAGAAATACCTTTTTTTCTATCAAAATACGATTCTATGCGTCTTCTTTTTCTAACGAAGCACAATTTTGATTTTCATAATTCAAAATTTAATTTTTTATCGTGAACAACTGCATATATTTTTTTTTCTGTTTTGAAAGAAAATACATGGATTGGTTTTCCGTACTAAACTACTATTGATTTTTGCATGATGAAAACAAGTCGTCCGCACGCAACACCCTTGGGACTTCGACTGGAACTACTTCATGTGAAGTTTGAATTGCAACCGTATTAACTTGACTCGATTGATTACATTGGCACACCTTAAAAGAATACTAAATCTCAAACACCTTATTAATTCATCTTCCCCCTTTTGGTTGATGGTAAATCCACTATATCCACTATAACTATATAATATGAACTTTTCATTATAAGAGTGAATATGGGAAAAGACACAACAAAAGTTATTTATTTTGTTTGGCACCACAAAATTATGCAAACATGACTTTCCCGTGAATCTTGCCGAAGAGGAATAAAGCCATTCTCTTACGATATTTATTGTTGCTCACCCAATTTCATGGACTAAAATGACGATGCAAAATAATTACTCGGCAAGCAAGATAAAATTCGGATTCCATCATAAATGAATATTTCGATCCCAGGACTGCTAATCATGTAAAATCATTTCACATCACAGTGTGTTTAGTAAAAAGAACAATGATAGAGAGATTAAAAGTTAATCTTAATGTCCTAATATTACTATCTAACAAAAATTAAAATAACATTTTTTTGTTATTAAACTTGACATCAAGTATTTGACATCACCTTCAATCGAGATTATAGATGGGCGTGAAATTGATTTAAGAACCAAAATATTGTTGCTGCTGCTATTGCCACCGCCTCCTCTTCTTTTGCTCAAAATATTGCTTTTGTCTCCATTAATAGAAAGGTTTAAAAAAAAATAGGTAGTTGCTCTTGTGTAATAAATGCCCACAAGAGGCTTCTTATTCTTTTTTGTCTGTCTTATTTTAACTCTCAAACCACTCTATGACTTTTGCTATGTTTCTTTGTAGAGCGTGGAAGTCAAATCCCATACTTGAAACTAAACGTCTCCACCCCCAGTCCCGTAAGAAGGTGGGAATTCGAACTTCTCACTTCCCCCTTTCCAAGTGTGGTAGCGAAGTTATGGCTGCATCAGTTCAAAGGAAAAATAAAGCAAGTAGATAGATGTCTCTTACCTTTTCTGAGTCAACTTCCTGAAGTAGATCGGTGAATAGGATGAGATCAACGATAGCAATCCAGTAAGCACTAGATTCGGACGAGAAGGAGGAGAACACTATCGAGCAAGGAGGGCGAGCATGGGTTATGGGGAAGCTAAGTGATAATGAGCTAATGAAGAGACAAAACTATAAAGTCTAGGAAGACCAAGACTTTTCACCTACCAAAGAGATGAAACGAAGACCAAGACTTTCTAGGATGTTGTCTGTCCACCATTTCTTGTTTCGTAATATTTAAAGATTGTCCTCAGATATTTGTAGTTTCCACAATCATATATCTGATAATGTAAATAAACCATAAAGTCAGAAAGACCAAGACTTTTCGTTAGACAATTACAAGTCATCAGAGAGACGACTAACTTTGTCTGTTCAATATGGAAAAAGCTAATTGTATGTTCGTCCACATGAGGAATCGAGGACCTTCCTATATTTTATAATATAGTTAACTTATTCCAGTAAATTATTTTCTTAAACATCTGTGAATCTTTAGTACTATAACTGTCACGTGAAAGCCTACATTGGTCACATATTCACCAATGAAGCAGAAAACAAAGACATTGAAATCACAAGGATATTGAGAATATATGGAGATATGCATTAACTCATCACTGAAGAAAAATTACCTCTTATTCTCTGTTTTGGATGGCCACAAGAAAAGGTCCTCGGTTTCAAACACAAGCCAAAAGTCTTGATCTAAAATAGAGGTCAAAAGGTGATTTTTTGTCGTATGACCAACTTAGAGTGCACGCTGATTATCGCTAAAAATTTATTACTCATGAGTGTTTTGTTAGCTTCTTTTGCATATGTACATTCCCGGTGACCTTATGATTTCAATGTCTTTGTTTCATGCGTTATTAGTGCTTATGCAATCAATATAGGCTTTTACGCAGCAGGTGCTGAAAATTCAATCCAAGATAGGCAGCAATGATCTATTGAAGGGTGCTAAGGTAGTAGTTGATGATCAAGAACCACTTGATAGGAGAATCGTGGTCCTTTGCGCGATTTTCTTGTTCATAAGTGTGATGCCTAGAGTATTATTTTTCGTAGATTATGTTAGTTGGCAATGCCTGACCCTTTGTTAGTTGGCGATGCCTAACCCGTTTTCTTGTCCAATGATAAATGAAGCTGACCCCAATTAATAGGACTGATAAATAAACATCTTTAGGTAACTTGCACCGATTGAAATAAATGTTGACGATCCATCTAACAATGGCATCTTACTCTCATTTAAGATCTAACTTGCTTCTCAATGATTGCTACTGAGTTTTATGGGTTCGTAGTAGTTTCGATTAAAAATTACCTCGATACTTCGTCTGGGTTCCATACCTGCCATGCGCTTGAGATGTTCGATAAAATGCATATGAGAAATCGTTGTGAAATAGTCCTTGCCATTGGTCAATAACGGACAAGTATTGATGCATTTATTATGTTACCGTTCATGCTGTCAGTCATCAGGTGAGAATTTTAATATGTTTCATAGTCACTAAGAAAATTTTTAAATAGTCTCGTGTTTTCTTTTCTATTTGCGTGTGCCGGTGATCAACGATGGTGTTGGTCGTCGTCGTCCAGATGATGGTGCCAAATCCATGGCCTGAGTGTTACTCTATATCAATTTACTCTGGCTTGTTCGTCGCATTTCTTATTATCTGTGTTCCTTGATTGTCCTGTGGCCGGCGGATATTGGTGGTCAAAAACGATGACTGAAGGTGGCAGCAATAGCGTTCCGGAACGAATGGAGATAGGTGACGGTAGGGCAGGGATATTTCCAGCATAAGGTTCCAAGGATTTTTGGTTCGTTGAAGTTGTAGATGTCTTCAAGATTGTTAGCCTTTAGGCGTTCTAGGTTCATTTTGGGAAAAGTAAAATTTCGTGCTCTGGGAACGGTTCTGTGAACGAATTTGAGTGCTAGAAGAAAGTGAAGGGGAAAAATAGAGAATAAGAAGATGGGCTTTATCTTGGAAAATAGAATTTGTGTGGGTTCAGGGCTTAATCCATCTGCAATAGAAATTGGGCTTAAGGTAGGCTTGATGCGGTTAAAAGGAATGGGCTCAGTACAGTCGTCCTCCAAGCTTAACAGGAGTGTATCTGAAATTGGGGCTTTGAAAGTTCTTTTTACATTGAAGTGGGCTGGATATAAGAGCCCGGTGATGTCCCAAGCTTAAGATCCAACTTGAGACCAGAGATGTGGCCCAAGTTCGAACAGGGGACAGGGACCCGGCCCGAGTCCCCATTTTCCAGGAACACAAAAATAATATATATAAATGTCAAAAAAATGAAAATTTGAAGAATTATTAGAAAATGGGTCTTGATTAGGTTATTAAATCTCAATGTTAGATTTATCTTGCTTAGTTTCATTTAGTTAGTGTACATATAACGTAGGGATCTTAATAAGCACCTTTGTTTTAATTTAGGTTTAGGTAGAGTAGTTTTTGAGAAAAAAAAATTGGATTATATTGAAATTTAGCTCAAGGGAGTTGCTGTCCTGGAACGTAATAACAAGGCCCAACTCGTATTAGATTATTTTGGTGCACTCTATTTTATAATTGCTTTTGTTACTATTTTGATAAATTGGTTGCGATTCTTTTATATTGCTTTTGTGTCATGATTTGCTTGTTTTTGTTAAATGTTTAGGTTACATCTTTAGGATCATAATAAACACCAAAAAATTATGTATGGACACTCAGCAAATGAAAACTTTAGCATTCATAATTTGGTAAAAAAACTATGTGGACAAAGGGCATTAATTTGAATAGCTAGTGTAATCAAGTCCCCCACTTTAGATTTCTAGTTACGTAGAAAGTGAAGTATTCTCTCATGCCTCACTTGATTTCTAGCCGACCCCAATAAGTTAATGGCGACTCCTTCACAAGATGTAATTTTCATAGGTTAATCAATCTCAACGAATTTTCCGACGTTGCTCGAGGTGAGGATTTGGAGAACTCGCACCGATTGTGGATCGTTGGTCCCCGACTTGACATTACCTCTAAATCTTTCTTTTCAACCCATGTCGAGAGTGTCACGACAGACCTGTAACAATCCAAGCTAAGTGGAAAACAAAGTGAAAAGCCTCTCGCGAGAAAGACCTTCACAGAGAGAGAGAGAGAGAGAGAAGGAAAGGGGCATACCTTCTTCTTCTCGAGGGGATGATGGGTTTGGTCGACATCTAGTGCAAGCGCGACCTTAGCTTTAAGAGAGAATCGAGTGCTCGAGCGTGCTCGAGCTAGGTCTAAAGTATTTCGTTAACTTAGTTCTTCTTAAGTGGGTCAAAAATGGCTGGGAATGCCGCTAAGCTTATGTACGTCATCTCATAAATGATATTTACATTTTTACCAAAAAATAAAAGTGGGTCGAAAATGGATTTTGCGAAAACTCATTAAAGACCCAATCTCATTTATTTATAACATTTGAAACCCACTTTCTCCGGGTCATTATAATGATGAATAATAAATATATAACACAGTCTTAAAAATGTGAGTAAAAAATTGGGCTCATGATCCATTTTGACATCTCTAAAGAGACCTAACAACTTACGTTATTGTTCATTATAAAGAAATGGAGTGGAAAGAGTATGGTGATTCTTTTTATTGCGTTAGAAAATTTGTGGAATGATAAGAAATGGCATCGAAATGTTTAAAACGTCTTCGAAATATGTAATGTTTGAGGATAAAGTAACGAGGTACGAAATAATTGTGTGCAATAAGCCTCTTAACATTTTCCTAAGGAATGGCCATTTCCCCTGTTTAGTGGAAAGCTCATTCTTTTTTCTTTTTTTTCTTTTTTGAGTAAACAAATCGAGGAAACGGAATCGCAAGATTGACCTCACTTTCACAAAAAAAAAAAAAAAACACAACAAAATAAAGGAGAAATTTTTTTCAATGAAATATCAAGTCTCTATCGAAATGAAAGAAAAAATTATTATTCTGATCTATATATAAGCATTGCTCCTGTCAAGAAAATTGAAAAATTTGTTACCATTTTAAAAGAGGGACATTCAATTCTCACGACACCGGTACTTCTTTTGTAGGCATGACCCATTTGAATTAGAGTTAGGCCGGTAAACCCTAAACCGATCCAATCCCAAATGAATTGATAATTCCTTACCACGAAACCCGTCCAGTGCGCAATTATTTTGAAGCCCGATCACTTTTTGCAAAACTAAAAAGAGGGGAAAAAATTCAAAATGCAATGTCAGGCTTCTACAGTAAAAAAAAAAAAAAGGAAAAATTATTGTTGGGAATGCAAAGAGCGGTCCCATTGAAGGACATCGACAGCATAGTGGGACTTGAACATATCAGAATTTCTCAGAAATTATACAAATTTTGGAGGGTGTGTGTGTCATCTCGAGAAAAAGAAGAAGAAGAAAAAAGAATAGATATGGACTTTTTCTGCAAAACGGTCACGGATTTCGAAGAGGGGCCTTTTCTATCTAAAATGAGCTTGTGTTTGGATCTCGATTTGGTGAAACGGGAGGGCGTTTCCACTAGTGCATCAATTATTTCGTGTGGGCCGCCACCGTTCACTTTGGAGGCTGGTGCAATGGAGGGCGACCGGACTATGTGGAGAAAGGTTCCAAGAAGTACAAAACCAGAAAGGAGGGATTGTCATTGTTTAAGAGGTAAGGTGCATGGGACTTTACTCTTAATGTTTAAGTTCTTTAGGAAAGCGACACGGTTGGATATATGAGATATCGCGATGTTATTTGTAGTTCTCAAATGGTAATCGTATTGTGTGGTCACTTTGAATATTCTTTTTTAGTTTTCATGAAATGAGCCGATAGTCACAAATGGTATTAGAGCTGAACCCCCTTCAATAAATGTATTCCAGTAATCTTAAAATTGTTGGGAATGCAAGAGCTTGGGACCTTCTCAAGTAAAGATCCAACCTCCATGGTGACCGAGTACACTTTTCACGGGCTTGGTTCAAATGGATTGGATTGAATGATTACACAAACACTTTGGTGCTACAAAGAAACTTTGGTCAAGGAGAAGGGTGAGCACCAGTCCCGAATAAACCTTGGAATCGGCTCTACCCAATCGGTTCTGGGCCGATCCCAATTCCAAATTTTTTTAATCAATTACCACTTGTCCGGTTCTCGGTTTAGATTGCGGATCCGGACTAAAGTAGAGAATCGGACCAAATCGGGGAACCGGATCAAGATAATCCTAATTCTCTCTTTTTACTCTTGCATTGCATCTTGTTGCCGCCTTTGGTTCCTTGCTTATCATGTTAAGGAATTTGACGACTGCTAGATGACAAAGTTATAAAAATCTTTGGCTACATAAGAAAGTTGCGATGGCACGAGGGAAGTTGCTTGAATATAGAAGAAATTTCCAAAAAGATGTTTATTTTTAAGAGACATGAAATTGATGGGTGGGGCTCATTTTTTTTTATCTGTTTAGTAGATAAAAAATGTTTATTAAGGATGGAGTATTGAAGCATTGATGTCATGTTGGCCACAGTCATCCATCAATAGCTTTTAAATTTGTCGGTGAATATTTTAAAGATTAATGAACCTAAAAATAAAATAAATAAATAAAGAAACTGGACCTTTTCCAGATAGACCCTGGAACCTGACCCGACCGACAAATTCGGTTCCAGGGTCAATTCCAAGATCTACAAGGTACTGTCCAAGTTCAAAAAACTAAAAATCGATCTTAACAAGGTAGGATTTAAGTTTTAGGTCTGAAATTTACCCATATTGAAACTACTTACCCCTAGTCAAGGACACGTAAAATAAACGACGATATTATTATCCTCACTCTTTATAGGTACATAAACAAAGAAGAATATTTGTTTATGTACTTATTTCCCGATGAGTGATACATTTGTTTTCACAAACATGGGGAATCATTAAGTTGGTAATTACCCAATTGCACTCCGATGAAAGGGGTGTCATGACCCCATCGAATCAACCAGTTCGTGAATGAGAACTTCCATACTCACTGTTTCTTCGTTTCAATTAAACGACGATATTATTATCCTCACTCTTTATAGGTACATAAACAAAGAAGAATATTTGTTTATGTACTTATTTCCCGATGAGTGATACATTTGTTTTCACAAACATGGGGAATCATTAAGTTGGTAATTACCCAATTGCATTCCGATGAAAGGGGTGTCATGACCCCATCGAATCAACCAGATCGTGAATGAGAACCTCCATGCTCACTGTTTCTTCGTTTCAATTAAATGAAAAGTCAAAAATTAATGTTTTTAATTTTCTGCCAAAATATAGAATATTATTCAACTTTTAGGAAATTATGAAAAATTCATATGAAAATTTATGTGTCAATTTTAGACAATGTGTGACATCCCATGAATTTCCACTCCCCTTTCTTGCGGCAATAATTCGCCTGCAAAGGGACACAGCCAAAAAAAGATATAACGTCCTTTTAGAACTGACCAATACCCAAAATCATTATTTGCTCGAGCAAAAGGGTGTACTACACAAGGTGGAAAAAGAGGAAATATGCTGAGACCTTCTTCTTCAGCACTCTCAGGTCAGACGCAGCGATACAGAAAAGGTCAAATACCGTAGGAGGGAGAGACGACGACTGAGTGCTGTCGTATCTTTCAACAGTCGCAGCATATTATTGCGATTATCATTATTGTTGTGAAAAATAACAGAAGAAAAAGTAGAATTGCAGGTGATTGATCAGCAGGGTCAGAGAGAAAGAGGGAGAGAGAGAGAGATGGTTGTCCTTTTCTTGCAACTTTTTAAGGCTTCCTCCCAAGCACAGGACACGAGAATAGGAAAGATGGAAGCCCCACGTTTTGGTGCACATGCTCTGTTTTCCGTGGTTTTTGCGTTTATGTTGTACGGCCCTCAAATCCTATTCCCTTTCTCATTGCCATCCACCATGTCCCTTTTCTATTTTCATATTCTACGGTTCAGAGAGAGAGAGAGAGAGAGAGAGAGAGAGAGAGAGAGAGAGAGAGAAAGGAGTTCATTGACAATTTTGATAAGAAAAAGGGAATGTGGGAACGTGTTTTGAATGTGACCGGAAGCATGGTCTCTGACTCGGTTAATGAATTATGCATTAGGATATTGATGAATTGATTGGGTGTTGTTCCATTTTCTTATTTGGTTGTCGCAATCCTCCCGAGATGAAATCCAAGGTGGTATAAGGGATTGTTAGGAGGGCGTAGGTAATCTACCTGGTCACTAGGTAACTCTTATACTTCGTATGGATTCTCTCAAACTCTTTCGATTGCAACTTAACTTCTCATAATTTATTAAATGAGATTAGAGACTCCATTAACCTATTATAGGGCCGATTAGAGTTGTGTAAGACGCGGGAATCCACCTTACTTTCACGAATCAAAGATTTAAAATGATCTAAAAGTCTGACTGCATAATACTTTAAAGTGACCTATAAATCTTTGTAATGACTTGATAATATTTGTTCTATTTTTTTTTAGTTTTTTTAAGGATTGAATATCAAGAAATATAGTCCTAATTTTTAGGAAACTCTCAATGCCTAAATAATCGAATACTGTCCCAACTAAAAAATATGTGGAAATGACCTTTGGCCAAAAAATTTAAGTGTCAACATTATTCCAATCAAGTTGCTTAAATTTCCTTATGTTGAGAAAATTATTTCATTCATGTTATTTTTTGAATAGAAATTTATACATACAATGACACGAAAAGAAAAATCTCGTCTAAATTACACCAGAAGGTCCAGAACATTCTTTTCATGAAAAGATTCCAGACAGACTGAGAAATTTTTAATCCAGTTCTTGGTCCTAAGACAGGTCGCTTTCAATTTGACATTTTGCCCCCAACTCTCTTTTCCTAATATTTGTAATTAGGAAATCACAATGTTTTCATCAACTTGAGAGAGTAAAAAAACAAATGAAGATGCGCAACTAGCATGGCCTAGCTTTGGTAACTTATGTAATTTAAAGATTTAAATATGAACAAACATATTTATATAATTATTGGTTTTAGTACTAGGGAATTGTTGATATTTCTCAACCATGAAAAGATATCATTTTTAATCCAAAATATCACCAACCGTGGAGATGAATAATTATGACGAATCAAGTTCTTTAGTTTACGTTCTTAGTCCTCATGTCCCATTCCATCATGAAATACACAGAAAGTATACAATTTTCTTTTGCATATTCTCATCTATAAATACCACACTAGATAAAATTACATTCACGAATTAGATCTCGATAATTGAGACGCAACATAAATCCCTAAAAGATACTCCGTACCAATACCAAACTCAAATTTTTTGAGTCACTTGTGAATGCAGCTCCAGACTTTCATGGCGGATTTAATACATAACCGAAGCAGAAGGCGAGAAAGTCAATTTGTCTCATACCATCCCCGTGTAATTTCCGACATTATTGCAAGTCAAGAAAACCGGCAATAAATAAACAAGAAAAATAGAAAAATCCTAGGAATCAATGCAAGTGAAAAAAAAAGGAAGAAAGCACAAAAACAAGTGTTGTCAACGGCAGTCTTTGCATTCCCAATATGTTTCCCTGTCCCGACCAAAAATCAAACCTCTCGCAAAATATTAAAAAAATATTTAAATTTAATTACAAACTGCAAATCGTTTACACTGCACTAGCACAAAAAAATAAAAATAAAATGAGAAATAAATGAAAAACTCCACTTTTTTTTCCTTTTTTTTTTTTTTGGTGCTGGGTATCTCTCTGCATCAGGGCATGAACAGCTTGTTCCCGCAGCTGCATCGCCAAGCCTCCGGATAATACTCCAGCGGCGCGCTCAGGCCGGGCCGGACCGGCACGTGGACCGGCTTGCATGGCGAGCAGCTCCCGCACCTGGATCTGCACGACGGCGGAGCCGAGCCCGGCCCCACGAGCCGCCTCCGAGCAGCCCCCGACGACGACGACGACGACCCACTTGCTGCTCTCCCGCCGGAGAGTCCCCCGCGCGTTATCGAGACGCCCTCTCGGGAGAGACGCCTGGCCGACGCCGGCGCGAGGAGGAGGAGGAAGAAGAGGCCGAGGGCGAGGGCGAGGGCAGCGACGGCCGGCCGCCGCCGCGTCCGGCGGTCCCGGCTGCGGCGCAATGTGCACATCACTGCGATGTCAAGGAGCAAGAAGAGGAGATTGAGCTACCGTGTGTCTCTCTGCGAGAGAGAGAGAGAGAAATGGTTTGATTTTCAGTTGATATGATTGAATGAAGGGTTTTTTATTATTTATTTATTTATTTATTGATGTTTTTGGAGTGTGAGCGTGCGGGAGTCAAAGTCAAAGACAGAGACCAAAAGATTAGTAGAGAGAGAGAGAGAGAGAGAAAGAGAGAGAGAGAGAGAGAGGGGTGTGATGTGATTTGTTTTATTGTTTGGCTTAGGCAGAGGAGGGGTAGGGTGGGGCGTACTTCTACATCTGGTTGATTGGGATTGATCAATGTGGTGTGTGATTGAATGATCGGTGGATCCAAGGTGATTATTGCGGGGAGGGTGAAATTAAGGTGTTAAGCATAGGGGAGTTATTATTATGGTGGGAGGAATTGACAAGAAAAAAAGATTAAATTTGGAATAAATTAAAGTGAAAATAATGCGGAATTGAACGTAGCCAGCTGCCAAAATCCATTATGAATTTGGAGAATACAGAGTTTAGATGAGGTATTTATAGACTTTTAAGATGTCTATATACAGTAATAAAAATACATTACGATATCAATTCATATAAGATACTAAGATATGTTCACGGTGTATGGAAATATACGCACAATGTGTGAGCCTTTTTTGCTACTCTTTGGCAACTAGCGGCTATTATTCATTAGAGAATGTAGCACAAGCAATCAAAAGATAAACTATGTTTCCCCTTTGACCAAAAAAAAAAACTGTGTTTACACTTAAGATCTACAAGGGTATTTTTACAACCTCAAAAAAAAAAAGATTATGGTAATATATTTTAGGGTGGATAAATTTTCACATCTCAAATGGCTACACACGCAACCTAATTGAACATTAAATAACTATTGACTAATGTACCCTCCATGTATATATGTATGTATAATCGAAGACATATAATTCTCATATAATAAAAAATTGGATGCAATTATTTTTGGAAAAACTAAAAGAGATGATGCTTGTTCATCACCGAGACCAGTCCCATGGCCCCATAATTTTCTTATGAATAATCTTAGAGGCTAGTCTATACAAGATGATGGGTGCTAAATATTGTGATTGAAGTGGTGGTAACTGAAGCCTTTTTTATTTTTAAGTTACTAGAGCAAATTAGTCTCAAATATGCATTATAATTACACATAGCAAATTAGCCTCAAATATGCATTATAATTAGACGTACTCAACGTTCAGAAAAAAATATCATATATAATTTTTTATTTTAAAGATTGTATATGAAGCCATTTAAGGGGTGGAAATAGCTCCACTCTATATTTTTCCTTTTGTTTTGCACCAATTTTGGCAAATAAATAAAATGTTGCTTGAGTTTAATTAGTGCCCGGACTTTTACAAGATGACGAAAATTTTAAAGACATGGAAGAATTTCAATGGAGATCCCTCCGTGCTAAGGAAATCTTTTGGTTTTGTGCTCAAGACAATATCCGCTAATTTCATTAGTGACCATAAGATTTATTCATATGTTACCAAGTTAATTCATGTTTAACCCGACTTTACTCTGCTTTTAATAAAATAAATTTGCTTGATACTTGCGGAAAGTTGAAAAAACAAATTCTTTTATTTGATCCTGCCTTATTTATATATTGTTTCCCTCTTTTCCTATTTATATATTTCTTCATTCTCTAAACATAATTCATGATACGGAAATCTCACAACATTTACCCGTTTTTTAGTAAAACTTTTTTTTAAATAAAATTTTAGTAAATGTGGCATAACTCTCTTTTATACTAGTTAAGAAAATATATGCCCTCTTTATTAAGGGTAATCGATTCTAGGATGGTCATGTTCAAACAATGCACATGATATTTAACATCCAAAAAACTGCCAAATAAAATGCGTCCGTCCGGACTGAAAACTATAACCAAAATCTTTTTTTATTAGGCATTAACTTTGAACCACGTGCATCTGAAGCACCTTTTATTAAGATCAATTACTTAAATCAATGTAGTTATATGTAAACCTAAAGTAATCGCATGATGAATCAAGAAGTTAGAGATAGCTTTCGATTTTTGAAAATGAGAACCGAGTCAATTTGTACTCCATGCCAATACCACACTCAAATTTTTGAGTCACTTGTGATTGTGAATGCAGCTCCAGACTTTTCATGGTGGATTTAATACATAACGAAGCACAAGGTGAGAATCAATTTGTCTCATACTATCCCTATGTAATTTCTGACATTAAAGCAAGTCGGAGAAAACCGGCAATAAATAAACAAGAAAAATAGAAAAATCCTAGGAACCAACGCAAGTGAAAAGAAAGAAAGCACAAAAACAAGTGTTGTCAAAGGAAATCTTTGCATTTCCAATACGTTCCCTGTCCCGACCAAAAATCAACCTCTCACAAAATATCAAAAAAATTATACATTTAATTACAAACTGCAAATAGTTTACCCTACACTAGACACAAAAAATAAAATAAAATAATATAAAAAATTCGATTTTTTTTCCCTTTTTTTTGGTATCTCTGTTTCAGGGCACGAACAGCTTGTCCCCACACTTGCATCGCCAAGCCTCCGGATAATACTCCCCTCTGTTCGGACTGGGTTGGACCGGCATGAGAACCGGTTTGCAAGGCGAGCAATTCCCACACCTGGATATGCACGACAGCGGCGCTGAACCCGACCGCTCAACTCAGCCCTCAACGACAACCACCCACTTGCTCTCCCGCTGATCGGGACGGCGCCACTGGAAAGTACCACGCGCATTATTGAGACGCTCTCTTGGGCTAGAGGCCTGGGTGACACCGACGTGAGGAGGAAGAAGAAGAGCACAAGGGCGGCAACGGTTGGCCACCGCCGCGTCTGGCGGTCCCGGCTGCAGCGCAATGTGCCCATCCCTGCGATGTCAAGAAGCAAGTGTTAGAATAGGGGATTGATCATGCGGGTGTGTGATTGAATGATTGGTGGATCCTATGTTAATCTCACTTTGCTTTACCACAGCACCAATCTAGTCTCTTCGTAGGTGTTTATTATGGAGAAATAACGTGTTAGAATAGGGGCAGTTATTAAAAAAAAAGAATTAAATTCGGAATAAATCATAGTAAAATTAATGTAGAAATTAAATGCAAGAAGAAAAAAATTACCAGAGAAATTTGTCGGCATCTACTTCACGAGGCAAAAAGTTTACGACAAAAAAAGAGTCTGCTATGAATTTGCAGAATACAGGATTTAGATGAATTATCTATAGGCTTTTAAGATGACTATTTAAGGTAATATGATATATTACGAATATCAATTCATATAAGGTACTAAGATATATTCACAATCATGAAAATATATGCACGATATGTGAGCCTTTTTTACTACTATTTGGCAACTAGCGGCCATTATTATTATTATTTTTGGTCAAACTAGCGGCTATTATTTATTAATGAAAGCAGTCAAAAGATAAACTATGTTTACCCTTCGAAAAAAAAAACTATGTTTACGCTTAACATCCACGAGTGTATATTTATTAACCTAAAAAAAAAAGATTGTGTTAGTATATTTTAGGGTGGATATATTTTCACATCTCAAATGGCTACACACACAACCTAATTGAACATTAAATAACTATTGACTAATGTACCCTCCTCCACACGCGCGCACGCGCACACATATATAATATATGTATGTACATGTAAATGTATAATCGAAGACAGAGAATTCTCGTATAATAAAAAATTGGATGCAATTATTCTCGCAAAATCTAATATAGATGATGCTTGTTCATCACCAAAACCAGCCTTTTGCCCCCATAATTTTCTTATGAATAATCTTAGAGGCTAGTCTATACAAAATGATAATTATTGTGATTGAAGTGGTTGTAACTTAAGCCTTATTTATTTTTAAGTTACTAGAGCAAATTAGCATCAAATATGCATTATTCTTTTTTCCATTTGTTTTTACCATTTCGCTTATAGAGTGAAAAGGAAAAAAAAATAAAATAAAAAGACAAGATACACTACAAAAAAACACCGGATTAGCGACAAAATTTGCAACGGAAAATTTGGAAAAATCCGTCGCAAATCGAATTTGCGACGAATTTTGCGACGGAAAAAATTCCGTCGCTACTAGGTCGTCGCAAAATTTTGCGACGGAAAATTTAAAAGTTCGTCGCAAAATTAGTCGCAAATTAGCCACGAATACAATCCGTCGCAAAATTCGTTGCAAATATTTCGTCGCAAATTTGCGACGAACTCTATCCGTAGCAAAATTCGTCGCAAAATTCGTCGGAAATTCGTCGCAAAATTTCGTCGCAAAATCGTCGCAAAATTCGTCGCAAAATTTTTCGCAAATTTCGTCGCAAAATTCGTTGCAAAATTCGTCGCAAATTTCATCGCAAATTTCGTAGCAAAATTGTCTCAAAATTCGTCGCAAAATTCGTCGCAAAATCGTCGCAAAATTCGTCGCAAATTTCGTCGCAAAATTAGCGACGAATACAATCCGTCGCAAATATTTCGTCGCAAATTTGCGACGAACCGTCGCAAAATTCGTCGCAAAATTTGTCGCAAATTACATCGCAAATTTCGTCGCAAAATTCGTCGCAAAGTTCATCGCAAAAATTCGTTGAAAAATGTATTCGTCGCAAATTAGCAACGAACTGTAATGATCGCAAAATTCGGCTTAAAATATTCGTCGCAATGTTTACATCATTTCGGCCATAAATTCTTGTCCATATCAAACAAAGGAGACAATGACATATAATTGAAACAGAAAAACGAACAAACCATAAATTCTGACAAACAAGCCACAATGACATATAATTGAAACAAATAACTGAAGGAAAGTTACAGAGTCTGACATGATGCTATTTGATATTCAATCTTACAATACATTCAAAACATGAACTAAGAGACGGGACAACCATAGAAGACGCAGAAAAACCATACACAAGAAGACGCAGCTTTGGTACGATGGCAGGACACCAAAAGTAGTCACTTTTGTCGAGACCTGAGGAAATGTCGATACATAAATCAGTCCAGAATATAAAAGAAGCGTT